ACTACTACTACTACTACTACTACTACTACTACTACTACTACTACTACTACGACCACCACCACCACCACCACCACCACCACCACCACCACCATCACTACTGCCATCACCATGGTCGGAGGTGTGGCGATGCAGAGGGTGTTGTGTAACTGCATGTCATCCACAAACCATCAGCCGTCGTAGTTCGCTCACGTCTGACGATGTAACACACGTCTTCCGAGAAACACCGCCCGGCTCGGGCAGATACGGCTCCTCGGCTCCTCGGCTCGACACCGCTCGTTTGGCGCGCCAGGATACCTGCGAGATGCGGCGAAGCTGCAAGATCCGGAGCAAATCCGACCGCTGCCAGTGCTGCGAGAGGCTTTGCAACATGCCTTGTCAGCCAAGCGTGCAGCTTGGAATAAGACAAGAGCTGGAGTGGTAGCTAGGAATGGCAGGTAATACTCAAAAACCGAATGACAAAAAAGGATAACATTTCTCATTCTATATGGGTTCTCGATGATTCTATGGAGTCTGCTCATTCGCCTTTTTTGGGTCGCGAGCCTGCCACGATCCACAGACGACATGGACCATGGGAATCGGATTCGCCTGCGGCACCTCCGATGTCACGTTCCATGGAAGTGAGAAAAAGACCCGTTTGTCAAGTACTCTTCTAAGGGAAAAGACCGCCATGCCATCCACTTCCATGTCGGGTGTGAGTAATGGTATCAGGTTCCCAACGTGCCGGTTACATGCGTCGTATCGTAGTATCGTAGTTGCTGCGCAGCAATCTGAGGCTTGGTCGTGGGAGGCTGAAATGCTAAGAGCAATCCGACAAGATATCACAGTTCAGCATCTGGATGCAGACTTTATGGAAGAGGCGCGATGCAGAGAAGAACGGCCCGATCCGAGCCAAGCAGAGCCAAGCAGGGCGCCAAGAATAGCCAAGCAACCAAGTTGGATCTGGGTAGATCTATCTGAATCTAATTGGACATTAGTAGATGTCCATGCTCAGGAACCTTTCCAGAAATAATTTTCCGGAAGAATGGGTCTCAGCTACGCCGCCACGCTCAAAACTCGCTTTTCGAGAAACATCGCTACGCCAGGTCTGTGAGATCTCGTGTCTTCGAGCTTTGGCCAATGGAGACTGGCCGGTCTTTGCACCTTGGGCTGCCAGGTTGTTGTTTTTCCTTTTGAATCTTCAAAAGCTGTGGGATTTGTTTGCAATCACAAAGGTATAGCAGTTAAGTTGCCAACAAATAAGTACAATCACCGATACATTCACGGCTTGGAAAACGAACACTATGCCAGGTGCTGCAGTTGCCCACAAGACACTTTCGTACACCGTTGAGTCCCTTGAGGCCTCTTGTGCGACCACTTTGAAGAACCGCCCCTGCGCAGAGGACCTTGTGCTTTTATCTCGACGATCAACAACAGCAACGAAAGCATTTGAGACGCCAAAAAGCCGATCATTGACCAATCCCTCTTAGTCTTACAGTCAAACCTATCTTTTTTGTTCACTTTCACAAGAAACTTTGAAATACAAACACAATGTTTCTGCAAAAATCACAATGTTTCTCTCTTATGTCTTCAATTTCTCTCTGAAGGAGCTGTCGTGGCTGCTGCTCTTGGGTAGCTCGCCACTGACTCGCTCCTTAGCCCTGAAGCAGCGCGGAGCCTTCCCGGAGAGCGCTGTCGCGTCGGCGAAGGCCGTCTGCCGTCTGCCGCGCCAAACAAACGGGTCACGCTTTCGGCGCGGGGGCTTCCGGGGGTAGACCTGGTAGACCTGGTTCGAGCTTTGATTCTGTCAGAAAGGACTTTCAGAATGCCAGCTCCTGGTTCCCCGTCCCAGCTCCAAAAAACCATTCAACACTTGCTCTCAGAAGCTGTGAAATTGGCGACGCCCTGCCGGGGCGGATGGCAGGGGCGGTTGGCGACGCCCGTGGCTCGCTTTGTGAAGTCGGTTCTCTCTGACATCAACGCTGGGATGTGGTGGAGAGTGCTCCAGCGGAAACCACCAACTGTGTGGCTTGGTGCTGGCAGCAGCAAGGGCTTTCTTGTTTGGTGTTTTCCCTGATATATCTCAGTGGAAGATCAGATCGTGGGGGGCAAGGCCACAGATTCAAGCTTGGATTTCCCTCAGTCGAACCCCTCAACGATGGTTCCTTGCGAAGCTCTCCCGTGATCAAAAGGAACAGGATAATAACAAGCAACCCGCCTATTCTTGCAATCCACGCGTAAAAATACAAGATGGCGCACGCGAAACTCTCCCTTTGCGAGACTGCGGTGGGACTTCAACGAATTTCGCCCGAGGACCTCTGAACAAGCCTTCGAGCTGGTGATCCGGCCAATGGCCAGTGCCCAAGTGCTGTGTGCTGGCAGCAAGGCAGGGACCGCAGCAGTAGATGTGTTTCTTCTTCGTGGTATATGATGGACCAGACCTCATAAACCTGCAAGCACATTGAACATTATGTCCATCCTCGGGAAAAAACAACACCCGTTTTTGTGGAGCTGCACGTTGTGCCTGGATGCTGACCAAGACCCCATCAACGTGTTTTGCGTTGCTTGTCTGCGAGGCCTTCATGAAGGTTAAGCAAGAGACGCTGCCACTCAGCTGGACAAGAAGCGTTTTGTACTTTGCTCCTCTGGAGCTTCTGGTCTTTTGTACTCACATTTCTCACAGCAATTCGACTTTCCTCCTCTTTTTCTCAACTTTGAAGTTGGCCAGGGTACGCATGGGTGCGCGACTTCCGGATGGCGTTCAAGTGGTAGATGGATTGGTGGATGGCAAGCAGGTCCTCCGGTCCTCGCTGTCCGGAAGTTTCGGGTGGGACCCTCCTGCCTTTCGACGCAGGATCCGAGTGCTCTGCCGGTGGAGTTTGGGTGTTGCCTGGACATATCCTGGCATTGTTTGAGTCATAGCCATAGCCCTTTTTGACTGCTGTTATTTTGGCAAACTTCCTCTCTTCGCAGGCCCTGCCTCTGGCACTGGATCAGCTGCGGAGCGCACAGCGGGGAGCCTCGCGCCACATAGCACGCACTGGAAGAAGGGACATGCATTCGCCTTGATACAGTAGACGTTTATGATACAGTAGACTAAGTGACTAAGTAGTTATGCAGTTTGTTATAGAAGGTCTAGGTCAGACATTCTTAATTCACGTAAGAGGAAAAGGAAGGTCTAGATGGAGTCAAGACGAATAATTCTTCTTTTCGGTCTTCTGCGAAAGCTAGATCCAAAAGGGTTTTGATATTGGAGCTACTCTTTCTCTGGCAATGAGGTGAGGACCACAGCTCCTTGGCTTGCATACACCAAGCTTTGGTGCTGCTTATTCGTGGCTAGGAGGTGCTGCTTATTCCATTTCTTTGTCTTTCATCACTCAGCAGGGTCCACACCAGCTCTCAGGTTTTTTCTTTCCCCATGTGTTTCTCTTGTTGAGGTGGCGAATTCCTCCGGTAGCTCTTCCTCACCCTCCATGCAGAGTGCTGTGAGTCACGGTCCATGCCGACCTTCTGGGGCCTCGCTCTGAGTCGCGCGGGCGCGGTGCTGCAGCTGGCCGGGCTGGCAGGACGTCGAGTCGGCGTCAGCGACGTCATCCGCGCGAGAAGACGCACCGGCGCGGTGAAGCTGGTGTTCAACCACAACGACCGACTTGGTCAACAAGCTGCTGAAACGACGAGATCTCCAAGAGCAATGACCTGCAGGCGACCGTTGGTGGCGGATGAATCTCATCGTTTCATACCAGGGATCGACCTGCTGGAGACGACAAACGTCGAGGCTCATCGATCAAACCTGCGGACGACCTGCTTGGCTTAGACGAGCCAGAGAGGAAAAGCCAGCCGTGCGGTGTTAGCTGCGGCATAGGTATCAAAAAAACTAGACGACGAGTGGCCCGAAAGCATTTTTCATCACGTAGGAAGTCAGAGTGTGAGTTATCTGTTAAGTGTTCAGTGTGAAGTGTTAAGTCGAGTGAGTTGAGGCAGTGTGTGGGTCTCTGTGTGTGTGTATCTACTGTATGTCTGTGTGTGTATGAGTCTCTGTCTGTGCGTGTCCGAGTAAGTTGAGGCAGTGCGTGTGTCTCTGTGTGTGTGACTCAGCTGCAGGGGCGCCAGAGCAGCCGCGAGAGATGACTCATCCGCGTACTAAAGTTGTACGACAAAGTCGCCAGTTCTCAGCTTCCAGCTCCACAGATTGCTCCGCGTACTAAAGTTGTACTACAAAGTCGCCAGTTCTCATCTTCCAGCTCCCCA